TTTTGCAAACCACAAGCAAGAAACGTTGACCGTTCAAAGAACCCATGCATTGACCAGCCACTACGCGTACCAATCCCCCTATCTCCCAACCCCTAGGCACGACCGATGGAACCGCCCTGCCGGCCCCAGCCCCCGCCGAGACGCCTACGAACGCCATCGCGCCAGGCGCAGCGTGCACTACGCAGACTGCGCCGGCACCCGCTCCCGTGCCTACACCAGTGGTGCAGCCGGCACCACCGCCCTCATCGACGTCAGCCCCTACGCCGACCCCTGTGCGGTCTACAGCGACGACACCAGCCACTGCATCAACGGCGACTCCATCCCACTCGGCCCGGCCCCCCGCTTGGGCTGCCCCTGCCGCTCCCACGCCAGAGCGAGGGACGTCCACGACCCCATTCTCCCGTCAGCCAGGGCAGAATCCGGGCCCGCACACACCTCCTCGTTTCATTGCCAGTGCCTCTACTGTCCCTGATGGTGCTACACGTGCCGCCATGTCACCTGAATCCATCCCACCACGAGCTCAGTCCGCGCCCCTCCACCCGACGGGAAATCCCGGCCCCTCACGCGTATTCCGTCCTAGTGTAGGTGTTTTGATGCGCTCCTGCCGCTTCGCCATTGGGACGGGGTCAACGCCTAAAGGGGGCAGGGAGGGTGAGAGGGGGTGGGCAGGTTTGGACAAGGGGAAAGCGAAGTTGGCATTTGCGGTAACCGAGAAGGTGAAGTCAGATATGTGTGAGGTCATGCGGGAGCAATTCAAAGAATATAAGAAGCTACATACCCTGTCACTGGAGAGGCTAGGTCGGGGTGGGAGACGCGCCAAAAGGCGTAGAGAAACGCCGTCACCCTCCTCCTCCGAAGAGTTGGGCTAAAGCCCGGAGTGGAGGGATCAATGTGACGGAGACGCGCCGCTGGGTACCCAAGCCACTAGCAGTTACGCTCCCGCAGCGGGCCCAGGCGTGGGCGCTCCACGAGGAGTAGCTCAATATTATAGAGAATGACGCACGCCGCAACTACTAGTGGCACGTTGCGCGCATGGCACGCCATGCGCTCTGCTAGGATTGCCCATTTCCCTTTCAATGTACCGTTGACCATCTCGATGATCATTCGAATGCGCGACTGTTGTAGGTTCCATATAAGTTGGGGGTTCGGAAGCTTGGAATGAGGCCTTGCACGGTACGCGAGGAAAGTATAGTTTCGGAGGCCATACGCAGCGTCAGCCACAAGTCTGTAGGCGCCGAGCAGACCCCTCTCTATCAAACGGCATGCGGGTGAGTTTTCAAACACTCGTGCGTCATTCACGCTCCCGGACCATCTGGCAAGGAAGTCCCAAATGTATTCGTTCGCATCGCTTGTGAGCTGTAGGATTATGCTGTAGAATCCTTTCATGTTTTTAAAGTCGTCCTTGTGTCGTCCAAATCCGTGCACGTGGATGTACGTGTCGTCCATTGCGCCTACAACCCCGGGAATGCCACCCTCCTCGCGGAACTCGCGCTCCATATGCTCCAGGATTCGTGGTTGTGGCCATTGGACCCACACGGGTCCCAGCACGCACGCCACGAAGAGAACAAAGTGGAGGAAAATGCAACGCGCGTACATGTGGCACATCCCGAAGTGGAGCCCGCGTCAACTATACGTCCACCCAAACCCTAATTGTATTAGGCTCAATGCCATTCGAACTTGTGCGGTTGTGTTACGGATATGCTCGTCGCCTATGGCGTCCGCATACGATGCTACGAGGTACTCGTATACGCACCTATCTACACATAGCGGCGAATAAAATTGTCGTGGGCGGACCCAACAGATTAGATCGCGCCACCTCAGCCGCATGCGACAACGGTCCCAGTGTTGCCACAGTAATGCGCGCAAGTTTGCCTTGTCGTCCTCGTCATCTTCTACGCACAGCAGGCAGAGCTCGGGTATGAGTATCACTATAGTGGCGAAAAGGGGGCTCACTATTACAGCGAAGTAGCCTTGGAACAAGAGGCTCTGCCAGAGGAGATATTCGCGTGGTGTCATCGTGACTTGGAATGCCATGGAGAGCATGAGTATGTTGCGCTGGAGTGACCCTTTTCCTTACCAAACCTCAACCCGGATATTCTTCCCAAGCAGTCGCGACTTCTTCGCTTGCTGCACCGTGACCAGACCTGCGGATCCTAGCATGATTTTTATAGTGCAAGGGTGCACAATGGACTGTGCTATGTTACCCTCAATTTCGCGGTGCATACGCTAGTTTTTGCCGCTCTGTTCGTGGTTTTACCCTACAGCAGTACGACGAAGATAACCCATGAAAAGGCGGGACCAATTGGCTAATGGCATCTTTGGTTACACTTCAGCATGGCTAGTCTCAGAGATGACATTCAATAAGAAATCGTGAACAATACTCTTGCATACGCCTAAACCCTTCACATTTTTCCTAGTGCTCACCCCCTTATGCAAAAGGGTGGGTCCAGGGAGAGCGCGAGAAGATCCTTGCAAAGGTTTGCACTAACCTCGTAGATAATATGCCTAGGAGGGTGCGAGTGGTGATCAAGGCGAATGGTCGGTGGACTAGGTACTAGAAACGATGTTAAGAAGTTTGCTCTTTGTTCCGGGAAATAATTGTCCAAATGTACTCTTTGTATATCTTTGGGCACTAAGTTAGATCCAGTATAATATTATGGATTTGAATGCTGTGAACACATCCACTATGTGCCCCTCCCAAAGCGTACCACCATTAAACACTAAAAGTTTATGGATAGTGGTTGAAAAACCCAAAACCCTAATTAGTGCAAAACATCCGGACAATAGTTTCCGTCACTATATCTAGAACATCGAGGACAAGCACCGAATAATTTTGATCACGTGTCTATGTTAGCGCTGTGTTTGTGCCACCAGCAACAAATGCGTTCCTTAAATTACCATCCTTTTCCAGATCTCCTTTAATTGAGTTTGATATGTCTGTTTTTTTTTTTTAATTGCACTTTGTACTGTTAGTGCAAAACTCTACTTCGCACATCAACCTACCGCCTCAGTCATTGCAGGCCTTTGGTGAAAGGATGCTGATGCTGAGAGTTTCCCGGCCCTTCCATTTGTGTGATTCATATGTGGAGGATAGCCTCACGAGAGTCTAACGGGAGTCTCATTGGAGCTTGACAGGAGTCTCATGGGAGTCTCACGGGACCCCCTGACGGGACCATCACGGGACCTTCACGGGACCCTTACGGGAACCTTCACGCAACCCTTACGGGACCTTCACGGGACCCTTACGAGACCTTCATAGGACCCTCACGGGACCTTTACCGGACCCTCACAAGACCTCCACGGGACCTTCACATGACCTTCATGGGATCTTCACAGGAGATTCATGGGAGCCCTACAAAAGACTTATTAGGGCTTCATGGGGAGATTATGAGAACTACTGGGAAACTCATGGGTGTCTTAAGGGGGATGTATGGTATACGAAATATGGATGGATGGGGAAGGTATAAGGTAAACAGTAAGGTATATGAAGGCGTGTGTATGAAAGGTATATGAGGGTATGAGTATGGAATGTTAAAGGAGTGTGAGAAGTGTCTCCATAAAAGGTAAGGTGTAGGAATGGGGGAATGTATTGGGTGTGCTTGCTCAGGTGAATGGCGTATGGATTCAGGTGAAAATAACATAATGCCAGTTGGGTGTCGCAACTACAAACACTTGTCACCATCCGTAGCCAGATTTTACAGGTGAAAGACGCTGCTATTCGCAGGTGAATGCCGCAAGTGACAAACCTGCAGGCACATTTCGTACGTGAAATAGATGGGAACGTCGCAGGTGAATTGTGCAAGATGAAGGTGAAACATGTGGGCAAGTATGGACCCGTGGAACCAACGTTCTCGTGCTAGAATAGTGGACGTGATGTAATGTGGTGCAGATAGGTCGAGGTGGGTAGCTTGCGTGCGTTAGATTACATATGCATGTGTGTTCCTCTTGTGTTTGTGATCTGAATTGAGCGAAAAATCCTCTGCTGCTCTTGCAACCCTTATCTGCACCATCACACCACTGGAACTCTATTAGAAGACTGTTGAAACGCTGCACAAACAATTGGTTACTAAGACTGTGTCTTGCTTAGCTGCTCCTTTCTACATACTCGAACCCTTGGATAGGGACTAGTACTTGTACCTGGCACCCAAGGACCCTCGGAAGTGACTGCGAGAAGGAGTGGCTAGAGTTAAGAGCGACTTGTATAGCCACATTTTTAGGCTAAATTTCTTAACACGTACTTCAAGAATATAAAGTACTTGCTTAAATTTCTTGCATATTTAAACTGATTTTGAGCTATGTCAATACTTTTTTTTGCGAACTCTAGTTCTCATTTGTTTTCTTCCAATAAATTTACTACTTTTTTTTACTTTACCTGCTTTTGCTATTTTAAACGTAATTTTCTTAGTGTGTGCTTCGCCTACAATTTTCTCAAATTTCGTAATTATTTAGAAATCTTAGTTTTTCTTCAAAATCATGGCTTCAATTTCTTAAGTTTCTACGCACAATATCTTCTGGAGATTCTCTTGCATACAAATCTTTGAACAATAAATCAATATTTTCTCTTGATGTTTCTCGTTATTTTTTTAACCTTTGATTGCACTTGCTTTGTCAGTTATTTTTAATAATTCATCTGAACTATCTTTTAGTTCATCTAAAGTTTTTTTGAATATTTTGAATGGTTTCGAGCAAGAATTTATTACTTTCATTCTCAATTGTAAGATTTGAGATATCTAAATCTTCTTGAGCAGTTCTTTCTTTTTTGGCTTGTAATTCAGATAATGTTTCTATTTATTGATTATATCTTTTTTTTACTTATTAATGTTTCCAAATTAATGACAAATTATATTTCTTTGGCAATATTTTTATTTTAAACATATTTTCTTTAGAGCAAGAGCATTCAAATCATTATGATGGGTTCCTTTATTTTCTTTTTCTGCCAAGTCTTTCAAAAATTCTTTTTTTTTATCTTACTTTCAATTATTATTTGGTAGGATTTTATTTGTTTCAAATCACCTGCTAGCTTTTTAATAATTTTTTTTTATCATATTTCTGTAATTTCCTTGTGTTACTCTCTCTCTCTCTCTCTCTCTCTCTCTCTCTCTCTCTCTCTCTCTCTCTCTCTCTCTCTCTCTCCCTCTCTCTCTCTCTCTCTCTCTCTCTCTCTCTCTCTCTCTCTTTCTCTCTCTCTCTCTCTCTCTCTCTCTCTCTCTCTCTCTCTCTCTCTCTCTCTCTCTCTCTCTCTCTCTCTCTCTCTCTCTCTCTCTCTCTTTAATTTCTTGATCATTTATATTAGCTTTTCCTCCCATAATTAGAGATTCTTCTGTTAAAGTGCACAATTCCAAATAGTTTGTTATTTTTCTTTGGCGTTATGAAGTAATAAAGAAATCCCACTTTCTATTCGCATACCATTTTCAGTTGAAAAACCTATTTTAATATGGTTTTCCATTTCCTTTTCTAAGACCTTCAAAATTTCTATTAAATTATCAAATTATTTTTTAAGCTTTGCAAAGACATCTTTTTTTAACCCACAAAACCAAGAACTCAGCCTCTAGTATCTCTCACTAAATTTGCTTATGCCCATGTATTTGCTATGTCTTGAGTAATTATTATCGATTAAAAAAATCATGTTCTCAAAACCAGGTTCTATATGATCTACAAGGTTTTCTTTCTTTCTTCAAGCTTTATTGACAATAAATTAATGAGCCTTGACAACCTTATAGACTCTATATACTCATTTTTTAAAAAAAAATCTTCCAAACATTTTTAAAACTTCTTTATTTCTTGATTTTGTTCTCTTTTTTTTGCTTTATTTGATTCTTTTTAATGTTTTTTATGTTCATAATTCTAATTATATTTTGTCTCTTATGCTTAGATTTTAGTTCATCTAAATATTTTTTTATTCGCTAATATTATTAGCGAGCCTTACGTCAATGGATATTCAACTTCTGTTGATTCTTTTTTCAGTTCATTATTATCTGCTGAGGATTCTTCTGAGTTCGCATGATTTAGATTTTGCCTTGTAGTTAATTTTTTTATTATGTTTGTCTTCACCTTTCTTTTTTCTTCTTGTGCCGGAAATAAGGTTAACGAAGGAGCTTCCTCTGCAGTTAGTCCCCCTTACCCTCTGTCTGTGTCTGTGTTTCCATACATCCCTTCTGCATGTGCATGTGTGCCCCAACCCGCCCCCCTGCCTGTGCCTCAGGTGTTGGAGGCCCTAGCAGCGTCTGCCAGAGCCATGCGAGCCAAGGTGCATCGGGCGACGGGGCATGTGCGCGCGCTCATGGAGAGGTGCGCGGTGGTGGCAGAAGAGGGAGCAGGCGATAGAGATGCGGAGTCGGAGGTGGTGGGGGGCGGGCAGATGGAGGAGGAGGAGGAGCATGAGTCGGAGCAATTAAGTGGTGGTTCGGTTGTTGCTGGTGGAAGTGAAGAGGAGGGTAGGGTGAGGGTGATGGAGGGGAGAGTTTGGGAGGAGGAGGGGAGGAAGATGATGGGGTGCAGGGGAGGGCGAGTGAAGCTATAGCGAGGGCGATGAGGCGATCGGAGGAGGTGAGGGGAGCGGCGAGGGCGGGTGACCTGGAGGTGTGTGTGACGGCGAGGGTTGGGGCGATGTTGTGAGTGGTGCTACGGGTGAGGGGCAAGCTGCAGGGGAGGGTGGACGTGGAGAGAATCGATGTGTTACATGCTGTCGCAGCCCAACATGCGCGAAGTGAGCGCATGGGGTGAGGGACTTGCACTCGGGGTGAGGGAGGTGAGCAGGTGTGGTGAGGGAAGTGAGCACTCGTCTCTCCTGCTGCCCATTTTCTCTGAGTGTGCCAGCCCCACTACCAGCTTTCACTGCTTAAGAAACCATCCCCAAATCCCCTTCCTCTGTGCACGGCACCTGCTGGAGGTCATCGCTGCTGCTGCCAAGTCAATCCGGTCAATTTCAAGGTTCCTCAGAACTAGAACGATCTTTTGAATGATTCTTTAGGTTCTCGTTCCTCCGCTGTGGCTGTGCGTGTGGCAGCTGCTGGAGGTCATCACTGCCGGGGCCGAGGCCATGCGGTCGAGTGCACAGCATGCCATGCGCCAGGTGCGCGCACTCCAGGAGAGCCTCACGGGATAGAGGGGTGGGGAGGGGGCGGGAGGGCAGTAGAGGGGTAAGCAGGCGAAGAGGGAGGAGAAGGAGATGGGGGTGGTGAAGGGGGGATGGGGGGTGATGAGGATGAGAATACCCAGGGCATGGAAGACGAGGCGCAGAGGTGTAAGCGGGTGAAGAGGGAGGAGGTGGTGGGGGTGGTGAAGGGGGAGGTGGGGGTGGTGAAGGGGGGGTGGGGGTGGTGAAGGGGGAAGTGGGGGGAGTTGGTGAAGATGGGAGGTTGCAGGAGGGTAGCGAAGGTTAGCGAAGACACCAAGGCAGAACCAGAGGAAGATATGGAGGTACTTTCTGGAGAAGGGTGTGCAGAGGGGTGGATGGAGGAGCCAGAGGGGTGGGAAGGAGCAATGCTACAGGGTTTGCTACGGGCAGCAGGCAACTTTTATTCCCCTCCCGAGGTCAGCGGTCACTGTGAAGCCTCATATCCCTCCTATGCTTCTCACTTACGGTAATGTCACCACTAAAGCGCCTTTGCTTTCTCAGTCAAGGTACTAAGCAGGTTGTCACATTTTCATGTCCGAAATCAAACCGTTATGCCAAGATGGAATACAACGAAAGGGGAATCAACCAGCCTGTTTCTGCTACTATGCGCTTCCTCTGCTGCAGCCATCCTCACTTCATATTCCTTCTCTCATTGCCTCTTCTTCTGTACATATCTTCCTTCCATGCCTGTCGTACATTCTCTGCTCTTTCTCCTTTCCTTGGTTGATTCCTACTTTTGTGTCCACTTCTCGTTTTCCTTCCTATTTCTCATGCAGCAAGGCGGTTCAAGTGGCGGGCATTGGGGCGGCTCGAGGGAAGCGGCGGAGCAGAGGGAGTGCCTGCTGCAGGGCGTGGCGTGAGCTGAGAGGGCGGCTGCCCAGCACGAGGTGGATGCGATTGATAGCTTCCTCACAGCCACGGCTGCAGCACCCAAGGGCCAGCAGCAGCAGCAGCAGCAGCACGCGAGCCACCTGACCCTGTCATGCGACTTGTGTGCCTTCAGCGGCCCTGCCAGCCGCGGCCTGTGCTTCCTGCTCGCCCTCGCTCCCCACTTCTGCCCTGGCCTGCTCCCCGCCCTCTCCTCCCTCACCCCCCGCTGCCTCTCCCTCATTCCCGCTCGTGCCGTGCAACGCCTGCTCCGCCTGCCCACCCTCTCTGCCCTCACCCTACAAGACTCCTCCCTCGCCCCGCCCACCCTGCCTGTGCTGCTGTCCTCCTCTCGCCTGCACCGCATCGCACTACCCTACGCTCCCCCCCTTCGCCGTGCAGCCCCCCCAAGGCAGTCGCGAGGGCGCGCTGCCACTGCCACTGCGGCGCCTCAAGGAGCTGCACGTGAGCCGCATGGACGGCGTGCTGCTACAGCAGGTGGCGCTGCTGCCGTCCCTTGAGGCGCTCTCCTGCACGGCCAGCCAGGGCGTGACCCGCCACAGGTGGCAGCACCTCACGCGCCTCACCGGGCTGCGGCGCATGCAGCGGGCGCCAACACACCTGGAGGAGCATTGACTGAAGCTGCACTTCCCCATGGATGTGCTGCCAGAAGTCTCACCGGTTTTCCACAGGCCGGATGCCAAGTGTGAGCATGAGGAGGTTGTGAAGGGGAGTGCTATGGACGGTGGTGTGTGGGAGGTGGTGGGCGAGCTGCACAGCTTGGAGTAGCTGGGCGTGCATGCTGTGGAGTGCAGCCAGCTGGCCGCCAGCTCCATCCACAAGCTCACATCGCTGACCGCTCTCCACATCTCCAGCACTCGCCTTGATGCCATTCGACCTGGCATGCTTGAAGGGCCTGTCTGCCACTACCGTCACCCGCCTTGGCGTGTCTAGCCTGCAGTGCTTGAAGCGCCTGAAGCGTGTGAAGCTGTGGCAGTGCTGGAACGTGTGGCAGGCGCTGGTGTGGCACGTGAGTGAGCTGGCGCAGGTGAAGGAGGTGGACCTGGGCTTCAACCACATGCAGCCGGCATGGCTCAGGCCCCTTGTGGATGGCAAGCAGGTGACAAGGTTGCTTGTGACGGGCAGCGAGTTCAAGAGTAGGACGCTTGAAGAGCTCCAGCAGCCTTGGGTTGCAGGCAGGCAGTGGTGAAAATCTCACAGGAACATGGTTGGTGGCATTTGTGCACGAACATTTCAGCAAACATGTCACATGGTTTGTCAATTATTTGAGTGGTGTTGTATCGCTCGACAAATGGAAATCGTACATAGAGCTTGTTAATTTTGCAGAGCTTTGATTCAAATGCTATCTTTGATATTAAATGGTATATTGGACTTAGCGCACCAATCCTCTTACGTTGTGCAGTATCGGTGCTAAAGAGGATTAGGGCAAAGTTCTAAGCGCGTACGGAGTCAGGCCGAGCAACAGGCAATGACCCACAGGCACGTATCAAAACAAGTCAAAACAAGCAGGATGAGCACTATCCCCAGCCAGGCGAAGCAGGCTGTGTTGCCAGAGGCAAGATGAGTTATTCACCCCGGAAGCACTGCTTTACCTCTTCTCTTCTTTAGTCCCCGTCGATTAGTCCCCGTCGATTAGTCCCCGTCGATTACCCCCGTCGATTAGTTCCCGTCGATTAGTCCCCGTCGATTAGTGCCCATCGGTAGTGCCGCCCGTCGACCAGTGCCCATCCGTGCGGCGCGGCAGCGGCGCAATGCAGGGCAAGGGGAGCGGCGCAGCGGGGCTGGCGGGCTCCGCGCAGGTTGCGCCTGCGACGGGCCCCGCCGCGACAACCGCTGGCGGGGCTGGTGGGGCTGGCGGGGCTGGTGGCGCCGGGGGAACGACGGGCGGCGCAGGCGGAGGCAAAGCGAAGGGAACGAAACGTAAGGGGAAGGGAGAGGGGGGGCATAGGGTGTGGGTGGGTGGGGGAGGATGGAGGCCATGCGGCTAGCGAGATGAGGCGAGCTGGGGAGTCGCGCAGGTGACGCATGGCACTCCGACCAAGGGCCGTGGTTGGAGGCGAAAGGCGTCTCATGGACGGCGCATCGTGGCATTCGGGCCAACGGTCATTCGCACACCAGCACGCTTGAACGGCGGAAAGAAGTTTCGCCGACGATGCGTGTTCTATGGGGCACGGGCGTGTTTGTAAGGCGCATAAGTGTATGCTCGCCAATAAAAGACGGCCACACCTCTCACCCCCCTTCCCGCACCTCTCACCGCCATTACCACTCCCCTCACCCTTCGTTCCTCTCTCCGCCATTCTCCGTGCTCTCCTCCCCGCCAGCACCACCCACTGACCACACGGCGTCCCCTGCGCGCCTTTCACCCACTCCATGCCCCCGCTAATGTGTAAATCTCCGCCCCCCCAAACCCCCCCCCCCCCCTCCCCCCTCCCCCTCGGGTCATCCTCCAGGCGGAGCAGCAGCTGGGGCGACAGCGAGGCCCAAGAAGCTGTCTAAAGCCGCGGCGGCGGCGGCTGCTGCAGCGGCTGAGAGGCAGGCGGCAGGTGAGTGGCATGATGGGCGCAGGTGGTGCGGAAGGGAGGGACCTATCTTATGAGCGCAGTGAGATGCGGCGTGGGAGCGGGAGGTGAGAGGTGAGAGGTGAGAGGTGAGAGGTGAGAGGTGAGAGGTGAGAGGTGAGAGGCATGATGCGATGACGCGACGATGCACGCTGACACGACCATCAATGCGCTCAGTGCTCCCCCCCCCCACCCCCCCCTTCTCTCTCCCCTCTTTCTCTGTGCTCTTCCAGATGCAAAGGCAGCAGCAGGAGATGCTACAGCTATCCCTATTGGACAGCAGCTGCAGCAGCAGTCACAGCAACAGCACCAACAGCAGCAGCAGCAGCAGCAGCTAGCAAAGCAGCAACAGCAACAGGAGCAGCAACAGCAACAACAACAGCAGCAGCAGCAGCAGCACCAGCCATTGCAGCACCAGCAGCACCAGCAGCAGGAACATCAGCAGCAGCTGCAGCAACAGCGGCATCCGCAGCAGCAGCAACCGAAGCAGCAGCATAGGCAGCAGGGGAGGGATGGAGGGAAGGAGGTGGGTGGGACAGAGGCAGAGCGAGCAAGAGCAGCAGCTGCGGGGGGGGGGGAGCGCAAGGACAAGAAGGCAGCAGGCAAGCAGGGAGCGCAGGGAGGAGGCGCAACAGCAGGGGGGAAAACGGCGTAAGTTCATTTGCTTAGTTGTTGTTTCGATGGTCCTTTGCGTATGGGTTCTTGTTGTGGTGGACAGTCTGATTCAAGTTCAAATGTAAGTCCAGCAGCATGTTTCTGTCTCTTCCATGCATTGCTTGTTCTTTTATCAAGTGCTTGCCTGCCTCTCGCTCTGCCTCTTCATTCCTCGCCCCTCCCTGTGCTGCAGTGCTGCGGCTGATGCTCCCTCGGCCTCAGCATCAGCAGCGCATGCTGCAAAGCCCGTCACTGCACCGCCAGCAGGCATGCCCTCCCATGCAACTCAGTCTCTTCTCCCTTTTCCTCTCAACACCAGCCTCCCTTTCCTCACACTCTTTGTGCCACTCTCACTTCTCGTTTTCATTCCAGAGGTGCTATACCATGCCATGCCATGCCGTGCCATGCCATGCCATGCCATGCCATGCCATGCCTTGCCATGCCATGCCATGCCGTGCCATGCCATGCCATGCCATGCCATGCCATGCCATGCCATGCCTTGCCATGCCATGCCATGCCGTGCCATACCATGCCATGCCGTGCCATGTCATGCCATGCCATGCCGTGCCATGCCATGCCATGCCGTGCCATGCCATGCCATGCCGGCATCACACCATGCATGCAGTCCCTTTCCATGCCTGAGCAGCATGCCTTGCCAGCGCCTTGGGGCTTTACCTTCTCACATATGCTGTGAATGCTCGCTGTTAGACTATATCTATTATAACATGCTAGGTTAGTGTGCTCTGTAGGTGTACACCAATTTGTGGTGTACACACTTTAGCTGCTCGTCGCCAGCCCGCAGCTCGCCCCTCGCTGCCAGCTCGCTGCCAGCTCGCCGCCAGTCCGCCGCTCGCTCCTCGTCGCCAGCCTGCCGCTCGCCGCTCGCTGCCAGCTCGCCACCAGTTCGCCGCCTGCTGCTCGCCACCGGCCCGCCGCTCGCTGCCGGCTCTCCGCCAGCCCGCCGCTCGCTGCTTGGCACTAGCCCGCCGCCAGCTCGTCGCCAGCTCCCTGCTCGCTGTTCGTCGCCAGCTCGCCGCCAGTCGCCGCCAGCTGCTCGCCGCCAGCCCGCCGCCAGCTCGCCGCCAGCTCGCCGCTCGCCGCTCGCCGCCAGCTGCTTGCCATCCGCCGCACGCTGCTCCCCGCTCGCCAGAAGCGCGCCACCCGTCATCCGCCAGCAGTGCACTGGCCGCCTGTCCGCCAGCAGCACGCAGTCGCCGCTGCCCGCGCCCGCCGCTGCCGCCGCTGCCCCTCCCTGCAGCCGCCGTCGCCGCTTCCCTCCTCTGCAGCCGCCGGCTCTGCCCTGCTCTGCGGCACCTGCCGCCGCTGCCCCAGTCCGCAGCCGCCGCCGTTGCCCCTCCCTGCAGCCGCTGCTCCTCCCTGCATCCGCCGCCGCCGCTTCCTGTGAGATTGAGTGAACTTGAAAAAGTTGATTAGGAAGGAGAGCACACAGGCTTATATAGGAATGAGAAGGAAAGGAGAAGGGGGGAGGAAGGGGGGGTTGCTGGTTGGGTCCCTATGCCAACATCATTGTCCCCACCAATGAGGTGGGTTGACCGACTTATTGGTAACCCCAATAACGTTGGCTTGAGTGGCCAGAATTACTGGGGGGGGGCAATAATTGGGAACCTCAACCTGTTGGGGGCCAATGATGGCAAGGATGGGAACCCAACTTTGGGAACTCAATCCCAACTAGGGTGGTTAACCCTAGTTTACACCCAACACTAATCAAACCCGTTATGTCTATCCAAACAATCTAGTCTATGCAGGATAAGAATAGAGAGATATTCTAACACTTCCCTCATCTGCAGCCGCCGCCGCTGTCCTGCTCTGCAGCACCTGCTGCCGCTGCCCAAGTCCGCAGCCGCTGCCGCTGCCGCTGCCCCTTCCTGCAGCACCTGCCGCTGCCGCTGCCCAAGCCAGCAGCCGCCGCCGCTGCCTCTCTCTGCAGCAACTACCGCTGCTGTCCACGCCAGCAGCCACCGCTGCTGCCCACGCCAGCAGCCGCCGAATTCAGCAGCAGCCGCCGACTTCAGCAGCAGCTGCCGACTTCAGCAGCAGCCGCCGACAGCAGCCGCAGCCGTCGACATTAGCAGCAGCCGCAGTCATCAGCAGCAGACGCCGACACCAGTCGCCGCCGCTCCCGCACCAGTTAGCCGCCACCGCTCCCGCACTGCCCCGCCTCCTCGTGCCGCCCAGGTCCACCTGCGGTAGCTCCATGTCGTGCCGCCGCGAGTCCTCTCCCCGCCACCGCCCCCCCCCCCCTCCTTGAGCCGCGCGGGTCCACCCGTAGTCGCTCCCTGCCGCACCCTCAGTGCGTCTTCGCCAAGCCCCCGTGGCATTTCCTCCGCCTATTGACGCCTCCTCTGTCGACAAGCTCCAACTCGTAGCGGATAAATCCGCCACCAACTGGCACTCCTTCGTTGGCAGCATCCGGCGTGTCTTAGGCGGCGCCCGGGTACAGCAGTACAAGCTGCTCGACGTCATCGAGCGCAAGGCAGCTGCCCTGTGCCCTGCTGAGTCCGTGTCACCTGACGCTGAACCTCTAGTCCCACGCGACCCTGGCGAACCGCTAGAGGCGCCTGTGGTTCCTGACGCCACGCCCGCCGATCCCGCCGTTGAACGACCGCCGCGTGTTCCTGCAGCGGCGCACCGATTACTAGTTCGAGAAGGAGGCGTTCGAGGTCGCCTCCAAGCTCGTCGCTGACCACCGCCGGCAGACCTCTCGCCATGCGCAGCTGCAGGCGACCTATGCCTCCAACATCATCGCATGGTGTGAGGCCGATCTCCGTGCCTCCACTATCATTCTCGGCGCCCTTCCCGTCAAGCTGATGCGCCGTCTCCAGGCCCGTGAGCTTCAGGCCTCCCAGCTGTGGGCCGAGCTCCACGCCATGTTCGAGCGCCGTGACATAGGATCGCTCGGCCTTCTCTTTCGCGAGAACAACTCCATCACCCTCCAGAGAAGCAGTGGCGCTGTTGACTTCACTGGCCGCCTGCTTGACATCGCCTCCCGCTTGGAGGCTCGTCGTGTCATCCTGCCTCCCGAACTCCACATTCATAACCTCCTCCACGGCCTCACCCCACAGTACGACACGCAGGTCATCGCCTTCACTGAGAGCTCCCCGCATGCTGACCTCCCCATTGTGGTGCAGTGGATCATCAACTCTGAGGTTAAGCTCCTCCAGGATCCCACTACCACTCTGCACTCTGCCCAGCCAGCCTCCACCAAACTCAATGCTCTCCCCTCCTGTGCTCGAGGTGGCCGCCCTCGTGGCGGCCGTGGAGGGGGCCGCGGTGGTGGCAGTGGCAACGGGGGAGGTGGTGTGCCCGGAGGAGGCATTGCTGGTGCTGGAGGGACAGCTGGAGGCCGTGGTGGTCGCCCTGGCACCCTTCCTCCCTGCCAGTACCCTGCGCCGCCATGGGCCCAAGGCCGGAGAGCGTTGCCTGCAGACCAACCACCCCATCGACACTTGCTTCAAGGCTCTCGATGATGCGTGGTTCGATCGCGGCAACAGTGGCACTCCGCCTCGCTGGTCTAGCGTCACTCCTCGCCCCTCCCTCGCTGATGTGACGGCTCTTCCAGCCTTCTTACCAGCGCACCTTCATCTCACCTCCTCCTCCGTTCTTTCCCCTCCGCAGCAGCAACTGCTTCATTTCCAGCAGCTTCAGCAGTTCCAGCAGCAGCAGCAGCAACAGCAGCAGCCGCCGCCGCAGCAGCCGTGGGCACTTGGGGGTCAGGCGGCCGCAGCAGCAGCAGGTGCAGCCGTAGCAGCCGCAGCTTGGCAGCAGCAAGAACAGCTGCAGCAACAGCTCGCCTTTGGCTCTGCTGCCATGGCCGCCCATGCATCTCCCGGCCCTCCTGGCTATCCCCTTTGGGGATCCGTTCCTGTGCCTGCTAGTGGCCTTCCCACACCTGCTACTCAGACAATTTTCCTTGGTCCCCTCACCAGTGCCTCTCCTGCTTTATCCTCCATGTATCCCCTCTGACTTTAATGCGAACGATTTTCAGTATTCCATATCACCGCCTCCTCCCCCGCCCATCCCTCCCTCCCCCACCCTGGACTTTGTCCTTGACAGCGGCGCCACTGAGACAGCTCTCAAGGATGCTGGTACTCTCACCCCCCTCCTCGTTCCCACTAGCGTTCATGGTGCAGACTCCAGTTTTTCCATCCCCTGTACCTACCTCTCCACCCTTCCATTGCCCCCCTTCCCTTCCCGCACTGTCACTAGCCTCCATATTCCCACCCTCCGCCATAACCTTCTCTCCCTCCGGGAGTTACTACAGGCCGGCGTCACCGCCACGTTCCCTGCCTTCGCCACCCACTGTGACCTAATCCACGGTGCCTCTAACTCCCTCCTCCACCGCCTTCCCCTTTGCCCCCACACCCGCCAGTTCATCCTTCGCATCCCTCGCCCTTCCTCCTGCCACGCCACGACCCGCGCTGGCACCACTACCTCCCCCCCCTCCAATCCCCACAACCACCGTCCTCCTCCCTTGCTCCCTCTCCCTGCTCCTGCCGCGCACTCTCCCATTCCGCTGTCCTCCTCCACCACCGCCTTGGCCATCCCAACTTTGCCACCCTCCGCGCATCCATTTCCTCTCGCCTCCTCCATGGTCTCCCCCTTTTTCTCGCTCCTCTCCCCTCCTCCCCTGCACCCGCTTGCTCCTCTTGCATCCATGGCAAGCTCAAGCAGCACCCCCATCATAGCCACCCCTCCTTCGCCGCCGCCCCCATTGATCTGGTTCACATGGACCTCTGGGGACCCAACCCTCCCCCTCCCGCCATGGCCACAGGTACATGCTCGTCCTCGTTGATGACCACAGCCACTACTCCTCAGTCTTTCTTCTCCACACGAAAGCTGAAGCGGCTGCTGTCATCATTCGTTGGGCTGAGCAGGCCCGCACCCACTTTGGCCACCCTGTTCGCCGCTTCCACTCGGACGGTGGGGGGGGGGGTTTCTCAATCATACTCTTTCCTCCTATTGCACCGCTCATGGCACTGAGCAAACCCGCACCCTTCCCCACTCCCCCCAGCAGAATGCTATCGCCGAGAGCCGCATTCGTGAGATTACTAAAACAACGCGCTGCCTTCTCACCCATGCCTCCACCCTCCCCGCTCTTTGGGGCTATGCTCATCTCCATGCCACTCTTTTCACCAACCTCTATCCTCACTTCCAACGCACCTTCTCCACTCCCACAAAACTCTGGGTATCATCCAAGCGCGATGCAGCGGTCCTCCGTGTCTAGGGATGCAAGGCGTTTGACCTTATCCCCCCTGCCGACCGCTCGTGCTCGGCTAGCAAGCTTGCCTCGAAGGTCCTCGAGTGTGTCTACTTGGGGCACGCTCGCGACTCTCCTGGCTACCTGTTCCTGCACCCCCCTTCCGGTCGCTTCTTCAAGAGTCGCGATGTCGTGTTTGATGAGAGCGTTCCATACTACGCCTCTCCTCCTCCTGTCGACCCCCTCCCCTCTTCCTCTCGCCCTCTCACCTGGGCTGACACCGTCCTCCCCCCGCTCCTTCCCCAAGCTCCTCTGCTCCCTCCTCCCCCGCCTCCCCCTCCACCTCCTCCTCCCCCCCCATCCTCGGGTGACATCTAGGCTTGAGCAACGGGTCGGGTCGGGTCGGGTAACCCGACCCGAACCCGACTTTTTGACGGGTCGGGTCGACATTTGCGGAAGGTTGACCCGACCCTCGGGTACCCGACCCGACTCGACCCGACCCGACCCAACCAATAAAACCCGACTTGTCGGGTTGGCTTATTACCCGTCCCTGCCCCTATGCCAACCCGACCCGACCCGACCCGAAATCGGGTTAGGTAGAACCCGACCTATTAAACACGGGTCGGGTTGACATTTCTTGAACTCCGACCCGACTAGACCCGACCCGACCCGACCCGAACCCGACATCGGGTAGGGCTAAGACGGGTCGGGTCGGGTCGGGTCGGGTTCATGCTCAAGCCTAGTGACATCTATGATCCTATTGCCCCCCCCTTCCCCTGCCCACTCTGTTGCCGATTCCCCATCCTCCCAGCAGCCGTCGGTGGAGGATCAGCAGCCGCAGCAGCAGCAGTAGCAGCAGCCGCAACAGCACTAGCAGCCGCAGCAGTAGGAGCAGCACCCACAGGAGCTCCCGCCGCAGCAGCAGCAGCACCCTCCTCCTCGTGGTGGCGGTCAGGTCTCCGCTCCGTCTCCCTCCATGTGCTGCCGCACATCCTCTCCTTTTCTCCTCCCGCGCACTCACACGCTCTCCATAGATCCCGTCCTTGGTCTCTACTTCAAACTTTCTGCCCCTTCCCAGGAGGACTCCCATGCGAAGTTCATCGTCGTTCAGCAGCACACTCCACGCCTCCTCCCGCTCTACACGGGCTTCCTTGGCTTTAGGCTTGAGCAAAACCTGGTAATTACCCGACCCGATCCGGTTTCGCAATACCCGACCTCGGGTCAGGTAATATGCCCATGACCCTTACCCGGACCCGGCCTTAGGGGACAGGTAATACAATACCCGCGTGGCGGGTCCGGGTATACCCGACCCGGTTACCCTGAAAAGCGGGTATTAGTACCCTCCACCTACTAGTAAGCATCCTAAAAACGGGCTAGACTAGGCAGGGTTTCTGAAAATGCGACTCTCAAATGAGAGTCGCGTTTTCTGGAGGTCAAATTTTGACCATCCAACTCCCTCCCTTTCACCGCACTGAACTCCTCCCCGTCTACAAACTCCAATTTCCAACCAAACTCCCTCCCTTTCATCGCATTGAACTCCTCCCTGTCTACAAACTCCAACATTTCCAACCAAACTCCCTCGCTTTCACCGCACTGAACTCCTACCCATCTTCAAACTCCAACCTTCTCAAATTTCACCCAACTCTCTCCCTTTCACCGCACTTAACTCCTGCCCATCTACAAACTCCAACTTCTCCTCACAAATGTTCCACTCGTCCCCCCTCACCTCCCAAACCGTTTGGCCGCAAAACCTAAAACACAGCGCGACTTACGCCCATGTCTAAATGGAATACCCGGCCTCGGGTATTATTTACCTGACTGGGCCGGGTACCTGTTACCCGACGTGTCGGGTAACGGGTATCGAATACCCGCCCGGGTAACCCGGACCCGACCCGCCGGGTAATATTCCGGAATCCGGTCACCTGACTCGCCCAAAAAGCGGATCCGGGTGCCGGGTACCTGATCTGGGCCCCGGGTACCCGATCCGGGCGGGAATTTTGCTCAAGCCTACTTGGCTTCATGCTGCTTGGTGCATCCTCCTCCCCCTCCATCTACGTCCCCGGCGACTTTTGGGAGGCCATCACCGGCCCTGACGCCAACAAGTGGATCCCTGCCATCTTTCGTGAGTTTGAGGCGTTCATCCGCAACAACTCGTTTGTCGACGTGATTCCTCCTCCCCGCGCTAATATCGTCGAAGGAAAATGGGTGTTCTGGTTGAAGCAGTTACCTGGCGAGGAGCCGGTCTACAAGGCCCGCTACTGTGCCAAGGGCTTCACCCAGAACTGGAGCGTCGACTACTGGAATATATTTTCTCCCACAGCCAAGCTCCCCACCATCCGGGCGCTGCTCGACTTCGCCGCCCGTATGGCCATGGTGATCTGCTGCATGGACGTCTCCAACGCGTTCCTGCAAGGCGAACTGCGTGAAAAAGTCCTCATGTGGCGACCCCCGGGATTCCATGCCGCCTTCCCGCCCGACACCGTTTGGGGGCTTCATCGCCCAGTGTATGGCTTGAAGCAGGTGCGTCGAGAGTGGCACGCCAAACTGGCCGCCACCTTTCAGGCCATGGGCTTTCGCGCCGCCCATTCCGACGCCAGCCTCTTCCTCCACGCCGACCCTAGCCGCTTCTTCATCCTCGTCTATGTGGATGACATGATCCTCATAGCCGATGAGGAAGCCGACATGGTGCAGGTCAAGACCGAGCTCCTGACCCGACTCCAGTGCAAGGATCTCGGCGAGCTGAAGAATTACCTCGGCATGACCATCACTCGCGATCTGGAAGCCCGCACCATCATGCTGTCCCAGTCGTTCTACCTCGCCCAGGTCCTGGAGCGGTTCACCATGGCGCAGGCCAAGCCAGTGTCCACCCCTCTGCCCGTTGGTCATCAGCTTGCCCCTGCAACCTCCCCCTCCGCCTCTGATCACCCCTATGCCGAGCTTGTCGGGTCCCTCATGTACGCCATGATGTGTACGCGCCCCGACCTCGCATACCCCATCAGTGTCCTTGCCCGGCTCGTTGGCGTAGGCCGCCACACTCCCGCGCACTGGGCCGCCGCCAAGAGAGTCCTCCGCTACCTGCGAGGCACCAAGGACTACGTCTTGACCCTTGGTGGTACCTCCCCTCCCCTCCTCACTGGCTACAGTGACTCGTCTTGGGCCGACTCCCAGCCCGACCGCCGCTCCTCCCAGGGCTATGGCTTCACCCTGGGCGGTGGCCTCATCAGCTGGCGCTCCACCTGCTCCTCCGCCATTGCCCTGTCCTCGTGCGAGGCGGAGCTTTACGCGGGCACCATGGCCGCTCAGTAGACTTGAGCATTTTACCTGGTCGGGTCGCGGGTACCCGACCCGACCCGACATTTTGGCCGGGTCGGGTAATAGGATTTTGACGAATTACCCGGCCGGGTCGGGTCGGGTACTCGGGCCGGGTAATGCATACCCGTTACCCGAGAATTACCCGAAATGTCGGGTAATTTATTACCCGTCGGGTCGCGGGTACCCGACCCGACTTTGGGTTTGTTACTCTGGGTTTGCTGAATTCTACAGCCACCTGGGGGTACCCGGGTAATATTACCCGACTTCAATTAAATGCGGGTCGGGTACACCCGACCCGACAGACGGGTACCCAATTACCCGGTATTAAAATGTCGGGTCGGGTAACAGACCTCCAAACATTACCCGGAAATTACCCGACCCGACCCGACCCGGACCCGATTGCGGGTAGGGCAAAACCGGGTCGGGTCGGGTAATTACCCGGTTTTGCTCATGTCTACCGCTCAGGAGTCGCGCTGGCTGTGCTATCTCCTCGCTGAGCTCGGCGCTCCTCAGCGCTGCCCCACCCTTTGGGCGACCCAACCATAATTGGGGTTTCCCCAACTGCTTGTGGCACTGTTCCCCCTTCCCTCTCAAGCCTCTCTAGAATCCTATGCATGCTTGTATTCACACTGCTAATACAACTTTTCAGATTCTTTAACTCGCCTCATACTGTTTTTCATGATTTGTTCATCATAGTACTCTCTACTTTTGCACCCATGATTCATTTACTTCTTGCGCTACTTTTCCAGCACGTTGTGCCACCCCGCCCCACACCACATCACACCGCAGCACACCACACCATACGCCAGCCTAGGCATTGGATACATCATAGCTAATGAACGTGGGTGTGTCGCGGCAGCGCCTTTGATTTCCCTATCTTGCCATTCCATGCATTCGACGCATTCCACGCATTCCACGCATTCCATGCATTCCATGCATTCCACGCATTCCACGCATTTCATGCATTCGACGCATTCCACGCATTCCACGCATTCCACGCATTCCATGCATTCCATGCATTCCACGCATTCCACGCATTCCATGCATTCCACGTATTCCACGCATTCCATGCATTCCACGCATTCCACGCATTCCATGCATTCCATGCCATGCCACCACGTACCCATGCCATGACACCAAATGCCATGCCACCCCACTATGCGCCATGCCATCACACCACATGCCATGCATCACACCACGTGCCATGCGTCACATGACGTACTATGCCGTTTCACAACTTGCCTTGTCATCCTATCCATGCCCCCAGCAGGGAAGCCATCACAGCCGAAGAAGAAGGCGAGTGCGTCTCGACGCAACACCTTTGACTTCATTCTCAAGCAGGCCAAGCCCCTCCGCAAGGACCAGCAGCCCCCAGGTGCGATAAGGGATGTGAGTTAAATTATACATGAAAAATACTGAAAGGTTGCATTAGCAGTAAGCATACGTAGTAATCAAGAGAGGTAAACGAAGGGGAAACATTACCTCTAGGAGTTGAGAAGCCCCAATGGCAGCTGGATTACCCAACCACTCGTGCGGAAACCACAGGTGGTTGGAAACCCAACCGTCGTTGCTGCCATTTGTGGTTGGGATTGACCAATCACTACTGGTCACCAACAAGTGTGTTTTGGTGCTCGGGGGCTTGAACCACAAGAGGATTGGATTAGCACCCTAAGCACAAATGTGTACACCTAGTATTGGTTACACTTAATGTACACACTAGCCTAGCAGGCTATAGTTCAACACAAGAGAGAAACCTTTGAATCATGGAGCACCAGATGGGCGGCTGGTAGGGCCCAAGAAGGCTGATCCAAATCTTGTTTTCGACAGAATCGTATCAGCTAACAACCTACTCAACTCAGAAACATGCCAACACCCCCAACCCACCCGAGATTTCGCCAATATCCTCAACCCAAGCGAATTTCGCCGACACCCCCGAACCACTCGAATTTTCGCCAACACCCCCCAACCAACCAACTTCTTGCCGACACCACCAAACCAGATATTTTTTCGCCAATCCCCACCCCATCCCTGATTTCTGCCAACACCCCATCCCTGATTTCTGCCAACACCCCATCCCTGATTTCTGCCAACACCCCAGCCATGTCTCGAGGTTGTGGGAGGATGAGGTGAGTGCGTGAGCTAGGAAACAGAAGACGGCATAGTATATCTCGACATTAAGAGGAAAAGATGCTAACTTGCTATTAGACATGGTTAAAATGCGATGCGATGCAATATCGCGTCGCATTTTGTCATATCGCGCGTGATATCGCAGCGATGCGATATCGCATCGCTGCGATTTCTGTTTCAAAATTTGAAATCGCGTATCTCAATTTAGGGTGCGATGTTAAAAAATATCGCACCCTTAAATGCGATATATCGCGTGATGCGATTTAATATCGCATCGCGTTTAGGGGTCGGAGGAGAAAATCAGAACGACAAGGCTGGCTATCCTAGGTGCGCGAGGAATTAGGTGAGTGAAGTTTGAGGGAGAATGAGATATCGTGGCCCCTCTCCGATGTAGAGCGTGTTAGAGGGGCAGGGGCAGAGCGTGTTAGAGGGGCAGGGGCTGGATTCTGTAGATGCGGGGGAATTTAGTGCGGTTGAAGTGGTGGAAATTGGTTGGATTTCCAACCAATTGAATTAGTGGGTGTCGAGATTTCAATCATCCCCCTAAATCCCTTTAACTGCACACCACCACATTCCATCCACCACCGCCCATTTCAAAAATTGAATCTCCAACCAACTCCCCTCCCTCAACCGCACTGCACCCCTTTTCAACTAGAATTTCCAACCCTTCCTCTCCAAGCTCCTCACAAACACCTTCCCGTCAGTTGCGCCAACCCCAAACAGCCGCGCGCAATTTCCGCACGCCATTACAACGAGAGAACCCTATTTTTTGCTAAGTTCAGGGCCCGCGCCCATGTTCCCCCCCCCTTTTTGGCGCAATTCCGCAGCGCGATATGCGGATGTATGGCGCGCGATATTTTAGTATTGCATATCGTGTTTTATCGCGCTGAAAATTCCACGATAAATGCGCGATATCGCAAAAATCGCACGATATTATCGCATCGCATCGCTACGATTTTTTATTAAAAATAAAATAAAATCGCAATTGCAAAATGTGATAAAACGCGATGCGATATATCACGATGCGATGCGATATACCCATGTCTACTTGCTATATAGGTGATTATAACGTGGGCTGTCGGGCGGCCCATAGATCAGGGGCGGGTCTCCTTACCCGTGGTCAGGACTCGGGTCGGGTCTACCCGACCCGCCCGCAGGTCAGGTATGACCCGACCTGTTTTCGTCGGGTCGGGTTGGAAAATGCTGGGTTCGACATGACCTTGATCCGACCCGACCCGAACCCGACCTCGGGTCAGGCAAAGTCGGGTTGGGTCGGGTCGGTTCGGGTCGGGTATTTGCTCAAGCCTAATCGAACCTATTGAAATGTTTCTTGGTTTGTTCAAAGTTTTCAAAAGAGTTCTTTCAGAGGGTTGTTCATGCGAAAAAAAGGCATTCAACTCTCCCCCAAGCCCTCCCTCCCATGCAGCCCCGGCGCCGCTGCCGCTAGCCACGGCGGTGCACCATCCGCGGCACGAGGCGCGGCTGAGAGGCGTGCTGGGCGCTCTCTTCTGGGAGGCGAGCTCGCGAGCCATCACCAACCAGAGCACCCCCAACACCTCCCTTGCAGCCCCCAGCAACCAACCAAACCCCCCCTCCTCTTCCCTCACCCCCACCCCCTCTCCCGCGGCCCCCACCATCCCTGCCTCCACCGTCTCCTCCCTCCCTGCCACCCCCACTGCCAACCACTCCTCACTCGCCTCTCAACCCTCCTCACTCTCCCACACCCTCTCGCCCCTGGCCCCCTCCTCCTCCTCGCTCGATCCCCTCTCCCTGCATAAGTTTTCTGACCTTCCGGGCTCAGGCTTGGGATTGCCAGGCTTCCAAGCCTTGCAGGGAGGCTCGGCAGCGACAAGCTTGGCAGGAAGGGGAGGAGGGGGAAGCAGTGGTGGGGGAGGGCTGAGGGGGATGGCAGGGGGAGCCATGGGCGGAGGAGCTGGGGGCGGAGGGACAGGAGAAGGGGGTGTGGGGGGAGTAGTAGGGGCAGGGATGGGGGGAATGGGCGGATTCGGGGGTGCGTTCAACTCGAGTGGGGGTGGGATGAACCCAGCAGCGGCAGCCGGCAGGGGGGTGGGTGGGATTGGGTCAGCAGCAGGAGTTGGAGGTATGGGTGGAGGTATGGGAGGAGGTTTGGGGGGAGGATTGGGAGGAGGCATGGGTGGAGGTATGGGAGGAGTGATGGGAGGGGGAGTGGGAGGAGGTATGGGAGGAGGTATGGGAGGAGGTATGGGAGGAGGTTTGGGAGGGGGAGTGGGAGGAGGTATGGGAGGAGGTACGGGAGGGGGAGTGGGAGGAGGTATGGGAGGAGGTATGGGAGCCATGGGCATGGAAATGGGCATGGGAATGGGCATGGGAATGGGCATGAGCGCAGGCGCATGTGGTCGTGTGGATGCGTCGTTCTCCTCTCCTTGCGCATCCGCAGTCACTCCTCTCTCCCACTTCACCTCCCCTGCTGGCGCTCTGCCTGCTGCTATGGCTGCCACCACCACTGTCATGGGCAGCGGTGCTGTTGCCTTGGGCGCTGCTGGTCCTGGCATGGGTGCTGGCGGTGCTGGCATGGGTTCTAGCACGGGTGGAGCAGCCATGTCTTGGCAGACGCAGGAACAGGGCCAGGAGCAGGGGCAGGAGCAGGGGCAGGGGCAGAGGCAGAGGCAGGGGCAAGAGCAAGGGGGGCACGGTCTACCGGGGCTGCAAGGGTTGCATGGGCAGTTAGGGCAAGGCACAGTGGTGCAGGGGATGCAGGGGGAAGCAGGTGTGCAAGGGGGTATGGGCGCGCAAGGGGGGGCGGGCGTGGAAGGGCGAGTCGGGCATCAGGAGCACAGCCACAGCAAGGGCGCCACTCCTACTGCCACTGCTGCTGCTGCCACCCCTGCTGCAGCTGCGGCTGCTGCTTCTGCTGCTGCTCCTCAGGTGAGAGTGACCCTCAGGTGAGAGTGCTCCTCAGGTGAGAGTGCGACGAGGACAATGAGAGGACATGGGAAGGGAGAAGGCGGCATTGGGAGGTAGAGGTTGTGAAGAGATTGCGTAGGAGTATGGATGTTCCGCGGAACACTCTTACCACCACACTCTCGCTTTGTGCACCCCTCACATCATGGCATGCCCGTTGTTGTTGTTCCAATAATGACGTGCCCTTTGATGTCATCACATAATGGCATGCCCATTGATGTCATCACATAATGGCATGCCCTTTGATGTCATCACATAATGGCATGCCCTTTGATGTCATCACATAATGGCATGCCCTTTGATGTCATCACATAATGGCATGCCCTTTGATGTCATTCACATAATGGCAAAGCCCTTTGATGCCATTCACATAATGGCATGCCCTTTGATGTCATTCACGTAATGGCATGCCCTTTGATGTCATTCACATAATGGCAAGCCCTTTGATGTCATTCACATAATGGCATGCCCTTTGATGTCATTCACATCATGGCATGCCCCTTTGATGTCATTCACATAATGGCATGCCCTTTGATGTCATTCACATCTTGGCATGCCCTTCACATCATGGCATGCCCCTTGATGTCATTCACATCATGGCATGCCCTTTGATGTCATTCACATGATGGCATGCCCTTTGATGTCATTCACATGATGGCATGCCCTTTGATGTCATTCACATCATGGCGTGCCCTTCGATGTCATTCACATTATGGCATGCCCTTTGATGTCATTCACATCTTGGCATGCCCTTCACATCATGGCATGCCCCTTGATGTCATTCACATCATGGCATGCCCTTTGATGTCATTCACATGATGGCGTGCCCTTCGATGTCATTCACATAATGGCATGCCCTTTGATGTCATTCACATACTGGCATGCCCTTTGATGTCATTCACATCATGGCATGCCCTTTGATATCATCACATAATGGCATGCACTTAGATGTCATTCACATGATGGCATGCCCTTTGATGTCATTCACATCATGGCATGCCCTTTGATGTCATTCACATGCTGGCATGCACTTAGATGTCATTCACATAATGGCATGTCCTTTGATGTCATTCACATGATGGCGTGCCCTTCGATGTCATTCACATCATGGCATGCCCCTTGATGTCATTCACATCATGGCATGCCCTTTGATGTCATTCACATGATGGCGTGCCCTTCGATGTCATTCACATAATGGCATGCCCTTTGATGTCATTCACATACTGGCATGCACTTAGATGTCATTCACATCATGGCATGCCCTTTGATATCATCACATAATGGCATGCACTTAGATGTCATTCACATGATGGCATGCCCTTTGATGTCATTCACATCATGGCATGCCCTTTGATGTCATTCACATGCTGGCATGCACTTAGATGTCATTCACATAATGGCATGTCCTTTGATGTCATTCACATGATGGCGTGCCCTTCGATGTCATTCACATAATGGCATGCCCTTTGATGTCATTCACATCATGGCATGCCATTTGATGTCATTCACATAATGGCATGCCCTTTGATGTCATTCACATCATGGCATGCCCTTTGATGTCATTCACATACTGGCATGCACTTAGATGTCATTCACATAATGGCATGCCCTTTGATGTCATTCACATGATGGCGTGCCCTTCGATGTCATTCACATAATGGCATGCCCTTTGATGTCATTCACATATTGGCATGGCATGCCCTTTGATGTCATTCACATAATGGCATGCCCTTTGATGTCATTCACATGATGGCGTGCCCTTCGATGTCATTCACGTAATGGCATGCCCTTTGATGTCATTCACATCATGGCATGCCCTTTGATGTCATTCAGATATTGGCATGCCCCTTGTTGTTCACATGGCATGCTGTTTATTGTTGTTCCCATCCACTCTCAGAAGCCCAAGGCTCGCCCAAAGAAAGTATCAGCAGCTGCAGCGGCAGCAGCAGCAGCAGCAGTTGCAGCAGCAGCGGGGACAGGGGCAGGAGCAGGGGAAGGGTCTGCTGCTCAGAAGCCCAAGCCCAAGTCGAAGCCAAAGGTGTCTGCCAAAGCCAGAGCTGCTGCTGCAGCCGCCGCCGCTGCTGCTGCTGCTGCCGCTGCCAACACCAGTGCTGCTGGGGCAGATGCTCCTGCTGCTTCTGGTGGTGCTGATGGCGATGGTGCCGCTGCTGCAAGTGGACCTGGTGCGGGGAGTGCGAGGAGCAGCGGAGGGGGCAGTGAAGGGGAGGCCGCAGGGAAGGCTTTGAAGGGCCTCTCGAGCCCTCGAACGGTCAGTGAGAAGCAGAGCAGTTTTTGGGATGGGGCTCAGCTGCAGCAGCAGCAGCAGCAGCAGCAGCAGCAGCAGCAGCAGCAGCAGCAGCAGCAGCAGCAGCAGCAGCAGCAAGTGCATTCGCCACAGCAACTGCAGCAGCTGGCAGCTCACCTGCAATCCCAGATGGGTGCTTCACCAGTGGGTGGCAACGCTCCCTCTCCTGGTGCTCCTCTCGGTGTGCAGAATCAGGTGCGACAGAAACTGCAGCAGCAGCAAATGCAACAGCAGCAACAGCAGATGCAACAGCAGCAGCAGCAACAGCAGATTCAGCAGCAGCAGCAGCAGCAGCAGTTGCAAAGGCAGCAGGGCATGCGGCAAAGCCAGCAACAGATGCAGCATACACAGCAAATGCAGCAACAGCAGCAAATGCAGGGGCTATCATCCGCTCCCCACAGCAGCCCACCAGCCCCGGTGGAACAGAGACACATGTACCAGCAACCGCAGCAGCAACCACAGCAGCAGCAGCAGCAAGGGGGTGGGGGGGCGGGGGGGATGATGGTCGGAGCAGGTGGACCAGGAGGGCAGCTGCAGGTGCCTCCTGAGATGCTTCTGCAGCAGCGGCAGCAGCAGCCGGGGCAGATGGGGCAGATGGGGCAGATGGGGCAGGAGGGACGGGTTTTGGGGAGAGGCACGGGGCAGCAGGGGCAGGGGCAGGGATTGGCAGGAGTGGGGGGAATGGGGGGGATTGGAAGCATGGGGGGAATGGGAGGGATGGGAGGGATGGGAGGGATGGGTATGGGTGGAGTGGGGGGTATGGGGGGCATGGGGACCATGGGAATGGGTGGAGGCAACGCAGGGGCAGGAAGGGCGATGTCGCTCCAAGGTGAGCCCTCTGATCTCTCCTTCATGCTGGTCAATTTCTGACAGCGCCTGCAAGCACAGACCTGCGTGATCCTGCTTCCTGCCTGTATAGCGCAGCTCTGCAGTGCTGCCCTCACTGCCCTTCTCCCCTGCTGCTTTCCCCTCTGTGCCCTCCTGCAACTTCCTCCCACCCGCCTGCCAGGCCCAGGATCAATGCCATCCTCGCAGATGCCCTCCCAAATGAGGGGCTTGCCAGCACAGGGCATGCAGCAGCATGGCATGCAGCAGCAGCAATACAATCAGCAGCAGCAGGAGCAGCAGCAGTTGCTGCAGCAGCCGTGGACTGCTGGTTTGGGGCAGCCAGGCGCTTCGAGGCGAGCAGGTGCAGCGGGGATGCATCAGCAGCAGGTGGGGCAGGGTCCGTCCCGGGCCATGCAAGGGCAGGGGCGGGGTGCAGCAGCAGGAGGTGGCGTGGAAGAGCCGTTCCATGCGGACCACCCACCATCCCGCATGCCCGTGCCGCATGCCCCCTTCCATGCCGCCTCCAACCTGCCCCCCGGTGCTGCCATGGGCCAAGGCATGGCCATGGGAAGTGGATCGGGCATGGGCATGGGGGGAGGCACGGGCAGGGGCATGGGAGGGGCAGGCGCCATGGGCATGGGAGGGGCAGGCAGCATGGGCATGGGGGGAAGCACATCGCTGCTGGCAGGAATTTCGGGCTCGTCCTTGGTGTCATCCTTCAGTGGAATGGCGGGGGCAATGGGGGGAATGAGGGGCACTGAAGGGGAAGGCGGGATGGGGAGAGTGGCGGTGGGCATGGGAGGCAGTGAAAGGGTTGTAGTGGGGGGAGGTGGTCGTGGAGGTGGTGGTGGTGGTGGTGGTGGTGGTGGTGGTGGTGGTGGTGGTGGTGGTGGTGGTGGTGGTGGTGGTGGTGGTGGTGGTGGTGGTGGTGGTGGTGGTGGTGGTGGTGGTGGAGGTGGTGCAGGCATGGACGAGTCAGCGATGTTTGCAGGAGAGGACGATTACGGAGACCTGCCGTGATCTGTGCTCTACTCTACTGACAGTCCTACTTATGGTAGAAAGAACTACAGAAGTAATAATTTGACAGGTGTTGCAGGAGAAGTATAGAATCTGCAAACACGAACACTTGGAAAACCTCTAAGTGTTAGCCTAGGATCTGTACTGGAATGGTAGACTAGTAAGACAGCGGAAGTCTTGTAAAAGAATGATAGTCAAGGTTAAATAACCTGAACACATGAACTTGTGGAGAATCAAAGTTAATAATGGAAAGGCATAACAAGGATTTATAGTTCTAGAAAAGTACCTGTTCGCTAATGTACCTGTTCGTCACTATCGTGCTATGCGCCGTAAATGATAACGAAGAGATGCAACTGTTCGCGTGACTGAAACAACTGTCCTCATGACGAGCGTTATGTGCTGATGTCATCCTACGGACTTATCTTCTACAGTAGGATTCGACACTATCTATCGATAAACGACTTACAGAAAGTTTTATCGTTGTAGATGTCCTCTATGTTAGGTTATCGAGAGAATTGAAAAATGACCAAGGGAAAAGTGTCGAGGGGTACAAGATTAGGGCTGTACACTCTAGGAATTGACCTACTAGGCTACATACAAATATACCTGTAACCTCGCGAAACTATAATCATATTTGTTGGCACACCCCTTGGCCTAGATAGTGGTAGTTCATCACAAGGAAAAGAACACCAAGGCAGCACTACTAGTCCGGCCACTGGTGAGGAGTGTAAATAGGCAACTCAACGCAACACTGCTAGCTTGACCGCTAAGATAAGAGGCCACAAGGCCAGTCAACAAGTGTAGCAAGCCAAGCAGGTATAGAACAGCAGGTACAAGCAGGTATAGTATGACTCAGGATACAAGGAGTGGTGCTGCTACTGAGGCTAGACCAAGCTGAGTACAGTGTTGTGATATAATTGATACTTAGCATTTCTGTAAGTCGATTAAGTATAGTTAGTGTCGAATCATACTGTAGAAGATAAGTCCGTAGGATGACGTCAGCAAATAGCGCTCGTCATAGGACAGTCGTTTCAGTCACGCGAACAGTCGCATCTCTTCAATATCGTTTAGAGCGCATAGCGCGATAGTGACGAACAGGTACATTAGCGAATAGGTACTTTTCCTAGAACTATAAATACTTGTTAGGTCTTTTCATTATTAACTTTGATTACCCACAAGTTCACATACTCAGGTTATTCAACCTTGACCTTTACATTTTACAAGACTTCCGCTGTCTTACTAGTCTACCATTCCAGTAAAGATCCTGGACCAACACTTGAAGATTTGCCAAGTGTTCGTGTTTATAGTTTTATACTTAGTCTACTACAACACCAGACGTTTTATTTCATGGTATGAGAGCTATCTGGAATCAAAGACTACCGTCAACTATGACTGGTTCATCACCAGCACCATCTGCTGGATCAGTTACTGGGACTACTGGAGCACATGTCTCCACTACCGCCGCTGGTCTCTCAGCCTCTGGGCACTTTCCACCAGCCTACGCTAATATCGGTATGCAATTGCAGAATCCGCCTTCTGTGAATACTCCAGGTGCTCCATCGACTGCACCTGCAACACCACAGCAACAATCACAGACATCAGCACATCAACAAGCGTCAGTACAGCCACCAGTTTCAACGCAATCGATTTCATCTGCGTTCAGTGGAATGAGCCTTGACGGCTCAAGTTACATGCGTGGAGCTACAGCTCCAAGTACTGGTTCGTTCGCTTTCTCACCTTTCGTACAGCAGCCGCAGTCGCAGCAGTTTCAGCATCCCTTCTATATCTTCGGTTGTTCCCCTGCTCAGCAACAACAACAGCAGTATCAGCAACAACAACAGCAGTATCAGCAACCACAGCCAGTACAGCAACAGCAACAGCAACAACAGCAGCAACAACAACAACAGCAACAGCAACAGCCCAGCATTGTTTTTCAGCCTCCATATTTACTTAACAATACTCAGATCAAGACAACCGTACCTTTTAATGGTGTTGACTTCTACTCCTGGAGCTTTGAGTTTGAGCTTCTGGCGCAGTCCGCTGGGATATGGCTGTTCTTCACTGGTGAATTTATGTACCCTGTCGTGGGAACACAACTGGAGCAGCAGAGTTTCTTGCACGCCTCTCTCGAGGCGTATACAGTTCTTGTACGGAACTTGTCGCCGAAGGAGCAGCTCGGCGTTTGATCATTTCACTCAAGTTTCACACCAGCCAAAACTGCATGGAACCATCTGAAAGGGGTATACATGGCAAAGGATACGATAACAGTGAGTAAAATACTTTCGCAGTTGACAAGTTTGCAGATGATGACAAATGAGAACGTCATGGATTACGTCAACCGCGTCCGTACACTACGAGACCAACTGGAGAAAAGTGGGGGATACTTCCCTCGTGAGATGTATCTCACGATACTTCTGGCTGGTCTTGGACCCGAATGGCGACAGACGCGCGCCTTTCTGTGCATGAACCCCAACCTCTCCGAAGCAGAAATTTCTTCTTATCTTGAAGCAGAGCACCAAGATCTTGACCTGCAATCACAACGAAATCAGAAAAAGGGGCTTCATTTAAGTTTTTACTCCAATCCAGAACAACAGCATCGACATCCACCAAAGTATCCATTCTGCCACTTCTGTAAGAAACCATGACATACTTACCAAAACTGTCGCAGCCGTCATCAAACTCGTCGCCACACTTCGCAGCCGTATCAACGATCGCAGCAATTACTGAAAACACAACCACAGCAGCACTTAACGTCTCAGCAGCAGCAGATGCCAAAACCGTCGCAAAATTCATCAGTGTCACAGCATCGTCCGCCAGTCTTCGCATCTGCCACATCAGGAAAAGGAGTTTTCGGATGTGTTACCACCGTTGATGTTTAAGAAACAGATTTCGAGACACGACTTGAAGAAACCACAAGTGCTGAAGGCATTCCTTTACCTCAAGTTTACGCTAACCTCGCTCGAATAATTTCAGGTCCGAATACCTGGTATCTCGACATTTGCTGCGGATGGCACATGTGCTCAACAGAAACAAGCTTCATTACCAATCAGCGTTCACTTCGTCGTCCGATACCTGTAACAGTCGCAAACGGACAAACCATCATGGCACGAGCAATTGGAAGTGTCATGCTCGAATCTATCGACACGGGATACTCACTTCATGTTACTAATGTCCTTATCGTCGCTGGTCTTGGCTTCAATCTTCTTTCCATGGCTCAACTCCTGGCACACAAAATTCGCACACAGGGCAATTGTGACACGATGGATCAGGAGCTCCGGCACAGTTCGACGAATACTTATCTTGGTCGTGCCGCCACTCAACATGGCGTATCCGTTCTTCAGTTCGCAGCACAAGGAACTTCTCGCGATTCTGAACATGTCCTTGCACTTGGTCCTTGGGATCACCCAGAAGAAACGGATTATCAAAACGTGGATATTGATTTTCGAGCAACTACTGTACCAACGACTTCTCGAACTGCAGCCGCCGTCCTTACCGCGTTGGATACCTGGGAGTTCAATACCGCCGATGAAAGCGCCACCGAGTGGCGAACGTTTTATAATACCCGTGCAGCCTTCCAAGGAACTCCAGCACCACTTTGGGGAGAGATAAGTGGTCTTGCAGCTGATGAACCTGATGTTGTTGAAGAAGCCGAACAAGAAGCAGTAGCTGAGCAGCCGAGTTCAACAGTCACTGTCGCCGAAATACCTGCCACGACATCAACAGAAGCAGTGTCAAACATTATACTAGCACCTGTAGCAGCACCAACGAATGTCACGTTACCTCTTAACCGTTTCGTTGAAGGAGAAATTGACAAGTCACCAGCGCTTTCTCCTTTCGTTCTTTCTTCCTTTTATACTAACTCCGATTTCTACCTGCGATCATCAGGACATAAAGCCACAGAAGATATATGGCATCAGCGGTTAGGACATCCATCACAAGGGATTCTTAATCATTCAATTCGAGCAGCAGTTCTCGATCAAAATAGTTTACTTCTACCTGATGGCACGGAGATGAAGCCGCAGTCACGTCCGACGGTTTGCACCACTTGTCTAGTTGCCACCCTTATGCATGATCCTTTTCCCAGTCGTTTTCGTGGCTCAACACGTTATAAGCTGATGCAGAAAGTCTACAGCAACATACTCAATTTGTCTGAAGCAGGGCCTAAAGACGAGAAGTATGTGATGACTTTCATCGAAGCATCTACATGCTATGTCTGGACAGCAAACTTACCTGCGCGCCATCTCGCTCACTCCGTCTTCGTCGCGTGGCTCGCTGTCGCTGAACGAGAGTCCGAAGTGAAACTGCAAGAATTTCAGAGTGATGGTGCAGGGGAGTACACCAGTAACAATTTCACAGAGTACCTTCAGACACTCGGCATCAAATAGAAGCAGTCATTGCCTCACGCACACCAACAGACGGGGGTAGCAGAACGGATGAACAGAACTTTGCAGGAGAAGATGCGTGCTCTGCTGACGTAGGCAGCTCTTCCACCGCATTTTTGGCCGTATGCGATGGACCACGCTGTGCTGTCACACAATCTTCTTTCTTCAACGTCCCTGCCCGAGTTCTCCTCTCCACACCTGCAGTGGACACGTACAGTCGGTAGCACAAAACTTTTACAAGTTTTCGGGTGTGTTGTTCAGTTTCGTCCTCCAACCGCTGCACTCGGAAAATTTTCCGAACGAGCAAAATGGGGGGTACATCTCGGCATCGAAAAACAGTATTACGCGTGGAAGATTTTGGATCTCCGGTCCAACCAAATCGTTCCATCACGTGATTGTCTCTTCTATGAAAGACTCACCTTGCCCGTTTTTCGTGCCCACCAGGCAGCAGTTGCCAATCCCGCCAGGCTGTTCGAAGGCTCGCGTGCATTTGCAACTGACGAAGCCGAAGCTGATGTACAGGACGAGGATGTTTCTGAAGCATCCGAAGCTGCCGCAACAGACATTCCCGAACCTGTCACCTCGACCGGCATACCTGAGTTCATTCCTCTTGCAGATGCTGCCCATGATGATGTTCGCGAAGTTCATCTCAGTTACGAACGCGATCGCCAACAGCAGCCGATGCCCGTCGTCTCCGACGAAGCAGTCCGTGTTACACCTGACGAAATTGGGGGGGAAGAAGGACCAGAAGAAAATTTCGCAGGTGCAAACGAAGAACGTCCGCGCTTTACAGAAACAGGATTACATATACTGGGGTTCGCAGTCGCAGTACAGTACAACG